ACTTTAAAAATTCTATTTGTTAAAAAGTTTCTAATGAAATTCTTTAACAAATTTAATTACATATTTTCAGTCGAATTTCACAATAATATTTCTATAAACTCCATAATTTTTTTAAATTTATTTACATAATATGTTTGAATTGGTGACTGATTTTGTACTATCAAATTAATTATTTTTAACTAATTTAAAGTTAGTGAACAGCATAAATGTCTATAAAAATTGAAATAAAAAGTGATTTTTTAAAAACAAATTAAAATAATAAAAACTTTTTTATTATGGTGAAAAAATTCCCGGTTTGGTATAAAATTCCCGGGTAATTCCCGGTCAAATTAAATTCCTGGTTAGTATAGACACCCTGTATTAGCACATCTTTAGCATCATTTTTATGTAAGTAAACTTTATGAATGATAAATATTTTATATAAAAAAATTAAAAATTGTAATTTGCAATATCCAATGCAAACACGTGAATTGAAAGTCAATTGTTTTTCTCTACATTCACTCAATTGAAAAGCAAACACAGTTTCAAAAAATTGATGGCAAATAAATTACCGACAGGTTATTGAGATAATCAAGATCAAAGTGATTACTAATACAAAAAAACCCCTGTAAGTATATCCTCTCAAATTTTTTTAGTAACACTGAACAACACCGAGAAAAAGTTACTATATTTGCTATTAAAATTGATAGACATTTTTTGGGTTAGAATTTTATAGAAAATCTTGTTTACTTTGGTGTGAATTTATTCTTTGGAAATAATATAATAAAAAAATAATAATAAATGTAATAATAAAAATTGTGACGTCATGTTAAGAATTAAAAAGAATCTATTACTTAATAAGTTTTTTAATAAATATTGAAATTTAAAAGAAATTAGAATTTAAACATTTTTTATCACATTTATTTTTTGTTACTACTAAAAATTGTAATTGTTTTAAAAACTAAAGAAATATTACTGAAATCCAAAAAATAAAATTTCATAAAGTCGTAAAAATAATTTTTTTTATTTAAATAATTTTAAATTCAAAGTAATGCCACAAAAAAATTAACACCACACATTTTGTAGAGTTGAATTTTCAAATGTCTTTCTCAATAACTTTTCCTTCAAAAAGTTGTCTTATTTCACTTTATTTAATTATTTAATTTAATTTTTTAATTATTTATTTAATTACTTTATTTAACTGCATGTGTGATAAGCCGATGATATACATTTAAGTATTTTACATTATTTTTGTCCTTTTTATATATAACAGATGGTATATTGAAATGGAAGGAGATACTGAGGACGTTTTTTATGAGTCTATGCCCAATCAAGAAATTGATGAGTCAAATAAAGATCCTGAGAATAATGATTTGAATGAAAATATGGTATTTTCTAATGAGAACGTCGAAGAAGAAAATTTAATAATTATGAACATGAATAATCCTGATTCTGTATATGAATTTGAAGAAATTGTGCTGATAAACACTGATGAAGACGAAACGTTAATAGAGGATGTCGATTCTTCTGAAACAATTAATTTGAATCAAGAATTAAATTCAATTCAAAATTCTAACCTACCCACAATTACTGATCATGATGAAAATGTAAAGGCAGGTAGCAGTACTGAAAAACCAAGTACATCTAAGAAGCGTTCGCGATCACAAAACAAAGAAGAAAATTATTTTTTGAAATACCATTTACTTCCCGAATGTAAAGAAACTTGTCGAAATAAATGCTCTGAAAAATTTAGACCAGAATATAGAAAAGCAATTTTTGATTGCTTTTGGGGAAAAAACTTTTGTGAACGACGATTATATTTTGACGCTCATGTAGTGCAACAAGACGTTAAAAAAAGAAAAGTCAATGATGACGAAGAGTCATATAAAAGAAATTCCTCCTTAATTTATACATTACCTCAAGAAAATGGTCTCAAAGTTAAAGTGTGTAAAACTATTTTTCTTCATACACATGGGTTAAAAACTGATGGCATGGTAACTGAACATTTTAGAAATAAGCATGAGAACTGTGGTTTAGTAGTTACTGATGATGGACGAGGAAAAAAATCATGGTGTAAATCCATTGATGAAGGTCGAATTAAAATTCACATTAATTCATATCACCCACAGGTTTCGCACTATCGTCAAGTCAACTCTCCTAATCGAAGATATTTACCATGTGATTTAACAATTACAAGTATGTGGAAAAATTATTTAGAGAAAAATAGTCGATATAAAGTCAGCTACGAAACATACAGGAAAGCATTTGAGGAGGAAAATATAGGATTTAATACACCAAACGCTGATGAATGTCAACAATGTCGTAAGTACGAATCCCATATCTGTCTACAAAAAACCACTAATTCATCTGATCCTAATGATGCTGAAACTTACTGTGCAGTTTGCAGAGACCACGATCTTCACAAAACATATTATACTCAAGCTCGAGAGGCTTATAGTAAAGACAAAGCTGAAAACTGGGACCGAAATGTAGAAATATTTGCAGTGGACATGCAAAAGGTGTTAATAATACCTAAAATGAAAACAAAAAACAGCTTTTTCGTAAGTCGTTTAGTCGCTTTTAATGAAACGTTTGCGTCGCTTAAGAAAAACGGTAAAAATGTATGTGTTCTTTGGCACGAAGGAATTAGCGGAAGATCATCAAAAGACGTTGCATCTGCCTATTTAAAATTTATTAATTCAGTATCAGATTTACAATCAAAACATTTCATTTTTTGGACAGATAATTGCAGTGCTCAGAACAAAAACTGGTTACTTTTTACATCTCTGATACAGATTTGCAACTCAGAATGGGGACCGAATATTATTACTATGAAATATCTTGAAGTCGGACACACTTCCATGAAGGCAGACAGTGTCCACGGTACTTTAGGAAAGGCGTGGAAAAAGACCGAAGAAATTCTCACATTTGAAGATTTAATTGTCTTTATGGAGAAAGCGAGTTCTCTAATCGAAATTTTAGAAATGCAAGTTGAGGACTTCAAACATTTCGAGGACCATTGCCGTAAACGTCAAAAAAACACTGATTTGCCATTATTGAGTGAAATAAAAGTAGCTGAGTTTCGAAAAGGACATACCAATCTTTTTTATAAAAAATCCTTTATTGAAGATTATAGCGAAGTTGATATTTTAAAAAAGAAATTTAATGTTAAAGGACCTTTTCCAAAATACTCTGTACTTCCTCGTGGTATAAATGCAACAAAAAAGTCCAAAATTATTGAGAACCTTGTACCTTTTATGCCTATTAATAAACGAGCATTTTGGGAGAATTTACAGTTCTTCATCGGCGAGAGATTTGGTAACTTCAAATAAAGAGTAGATAAAAGAAAATAAATTTGTTTAATAATAAAAAATATTAACATTAAATAATTAATAATAATTTTTATTTTTTCTGTAGAATTGTTTAGAGGAATATAAAATGTGTTTTCAATAAAGACAATTAAACAACTAAATCTTTCTTTGTTTATTTTAAAGAAAATTAATAAAACTGATTAATTCAACTAAAAAATTTACTGTAAATAATTTCTTTTACTTGTACAATAAAAAATTATAACTAAAAAGTATTAGTTTTATAAAAAAAAAATAAGCTATTAATACTTAATGTAATTTTTAATAGAAGTGTCAATTATTCAATTTTAAAGCAAGTCCAATTTTGAAAATAGATATAAAAAAGCTTTATTTTGGATTTTTAGAAACTAAATTAATTCATAAAATGTAAATGTATTATTTGGTAGTAAAGATGCAAAATTTGTTTTTTGGATCTATAATTTTTCATTTAAAATTTTATTTTATTTATATTTCCTAACATTATAATTTTATTTATTTATATAATTTTTGGATAATTTCAAAAAATTATTTGAATCAAATAAATATTTTTCAAATAATTTGAATTAATTGAATCAAATATTTTTTTTTCAGTGTTTAAAAACATGTTTTTTAAAAAAGATGTTCTCCTGTAATTACTTATTGTTTACTGACTGTATTTATTATTTTTATGTTTACCTATTAATTTATACTAAAAATCTGTAGAAAACCGTAAGGCAAAGTATTTAAATGTTAGGAAATTTTGAATTCGCGCTACAAAATTAACCTATTGTCAGTAAATATAATTGTGAAGTTTTCGCATTTTGAGAAAAACTATAAAAAACAAAAAAGAGACACACGTACGAGATTAAACGCGCGGTTTGCACTGGTGTGTGTAACCAATGGGAGTGAGTCGAAGTGGGGAGTGTGTGTTCGTCGCCCGAGCGATAGTCGCTTTTACAGCAAAAGCGACTTACTAGGTTTTTCCTTTGGACAGCAGATCTCATTACCAATTGGTACCAAAAACCAACTTCATCGAACAGAATAATAAATTATGACTCTAATCATCCAATCCAACAAAAAAAGAACATTGTATACAATTTGTATGACAGGGCTATTTTGTTATCTCGCGAATCTTTTCATAAAGAAAATATTATATTATTTAATATTATATTAAATATTGTTATTTTAATATTAATATTATTATTAAATATTGTTTCATTACTTTAGTTAATGATATTTTAAAAAACAATAATTATCCATCAGAATTTATCAAAAAACATATAAAAGTGCGGTCTTTGATTGTACATTTTTGAAAAAAAAAATTTTTTACAAATTCTTAAATAAATTATTTATTACATATAAAAGAAATTTTTTAAATAAATGTCATAGTTATTTTAATAATATATACTAAAAAAAGCCTTCTTTTTGCCTGTTTTGAACTGGAATGTCCCCTTAATTAAAGTAATGTCTAAGAAATTAATTTTATTATTATCTTCTAATTCATAAGTAAAATTAAGATGAGTATTAAAGGAGTAAATAAAAGTAAATAGTAAATAAATTGATACTTATTAAAGTATCAATAACAAGTTGAACATTATCTTTGTGAACACATAAGAGAGTGTCATCAACATATCTAAAGTAAAAATGAGGAATACAATTAAAACTCTTTTTTTATAAATATAAACAATCTGACTCCATATCATCCATTACAATGTCTGCGAAAAATGGTGATATTGGTGAACCCATAGGTGTACCTTCTATTTGTTGATAAATTTTTTTGTTAAATGAAAAAAATGTGTTATGAAAAAGAAACTTCGTACAACGGACAATGTCATTAAAAGGAATTTTACAATTATTTTCTATAGTGTTATATCTTCTGTCTAGACTTTGAACAACCAAATCGCAAGTAACATTGGTAAAAAGTGAAGTTACATCGAGAGAAAGCAAAACAGAATCGTTTGGTAAAGTAAAATTCTTTAATTTCTCTCTCAATTCAAAACTATTGTTTACATGAGATTTAAGGAGAGAAATTATCGGTTTAAGTTCCTCATATATGATCCTTGCTAAAAAATGAGTAGGACTATTTATGAGTGAAATAATAGGTCTAAGTGGTACATTATCCTTGTGAATTTTAGGTAAACCGTAAAATTATCGATTCCGATTGTTCAAAAAACTTTAACTTCTGTTGTAAAATTAGGAAAAGACCTCACAGATAAGTGGGATAGATCTGGTATTGTCTACAAGTTCAATTGTAATCACCGCCGAGGTCACCAAAGCGGTTGGAAGCATGGGTAAGGTGCAGTCATTGGATCGAAGAGTTACACTCGAGATCCGTGATTTGGATTGCCTTACCCAAGAAGCTGAGGTGCAACAAGTGTTGTCTGAAGCAATGGGTAAGCCAGGAAACAGGAGAGCAGGGACCGTCACGGAATCAAAACAAAATTAAAAAATACTTTTGTTTTGATTCGGATATGGGTTTCAGAATCAAAATTCCACTCTACTTAGTTCTGATTCCAATATCAAAAACAAAATTCAACTCTATTTCGTTTTGGTTCTAATATCAAAATCAAAATTCAACTCTATTTCGTTTTGGTTCCAATATCAAAATCAAAATTCAACTCTATTACGTTTTGGTTTCAATATCAAAATTCCATTCTATTTCGTTTTGGTTCCAATATCAAAATCAAAATTCCATTTTATTTAGTTTTGATTCCAATATCAAAATCAAAATTCTTTTTTGTTTTAATTTTGATAAAATACTACTGCGCATGTATAAGTCTCATTGAACCTAAATTTTGTTGCAAATGTCAAATATATCAGAAGATAATATCGTTTTTACATACGAAATCTGAAATAGAATTCGAATCGACTTCTGTTTCTATAAGAAAACCGAATTGCAGTATTATAATGTCAGAATCAAAATAGGAAGTAAATTTTGTTTCGTTAACGTATCGGAATCAAAATAGGAAGTGAATTTTGTTTCGTTACAGTATCGAAATCAAAATAGAAAGTAAATTTTGTTTCGTTATAGTATCAGAATCAAAATAGGAAGTAAATTTTGTTTCGTTACCGAATCAAAATCAAAATACATTAATAATTTCGTTTTGTTTTGGAATATCGTAACGAAATCAAAATTTGATTTCCGTGACGGTCCCTGCAGGAGAGTGACGGTCTTAGGACCCAACCGCCGAGGGATGAAGCTCGCAGTTGTAGTCACTAATCTGGAAGAGGCGAACAGGCTGGAGAAATTGGGACACGTAAAAATTGGTTTTATGTGTTGCCCAATCAAAAGAAGAGTAATGGTCGTCCGGTGTCATCGATGCCTGGGATACGGCCATATTGGAGCCAAATGCCAGAAGGAGGACAGATCGGCTGCGTGATTTAAGTGCGGTGAGGCCGGTCACAGGTTCTCCAACTGCAAAAAGAACGCAAGCTGCTTTTTGTGCACTGAAAAGTTTGGCAATAAGGTGTCAACCACCCATATTGCAGGCAGCGGAGGATGCGGAGTCTTCAGGTCGGCCCTTGAGGAGGCGAAGAAGACTCTTGCAAGGACTAAAAGTAAATGAGAAGTGTTAAAAGGAGCGAATAGTTTTTAATTATTTATTTTATTTACTTTAATTATTTTTTGTAGTTTTTATACTGTCCTTTTTACATTTTATCATTTTTAACCTTTTAATCTTTTTAATACTTTTTAACATTTGTTCCTTTATTCTTTGACATTGGAATGGTTTTTAATTTTAACTATTGACGCAGAAGAACCGCAGAGAGAGAACAAAGTCGCATGAGCGACAGAGTCGGAGCGCCACCCTCGAAGGCTAAAGTCTTGCGACAGTTCCAAAGGTGGATAAAGGGCTCCAAAAGAAGGGTTACGGGTTTTAGTGGGTCGGGGCTGGCAGTAGGTCGCCAGTTTATTAAATTTTATTATTTTACTTATTTTATTTTTCCTTTTCTTTTTTTTATTATACCAACCCCACATAACCTTGGAATGCGGAGTCCAAGGTATCTGTATGCAGATTTCCCAAAAGTCCCTAAGCGAAAAAAAAAATAAAAAAAAAAGTTCAATTGTAATGATTGCAATGCAACGTATATTGGTGAATCGAAACGTACTTTAAAAAAGCGAATCGACGAACACAAAAAGAGTAAAAATTCAGATTCAGTTGTGAATAAGCACAAAAATGATTATGGTCATTCCTTCAATTTTGATGATGTGCAAATTTTAGACAATGAAACTTCTCATAAAAAAAGATTAGTTTCGGAAATGATTCACATTAAATGTAATAATTTTACTATTAACAAGAAGCAAGATACACAATTTCTTAGTAATGCATATTTTCCTTTACTGAATAAATTGAAAGAGTGATCATTTTCATAATATTTCGATTTGCGGTCATTGAACTCGTCACCTGTATATAATATGAAGATTGTCGTTTAAACAGTCAGTCTGACTAATCACTCATTGAAAAAATGTTCGTGATTTTTAATTTTAAAATTTTATTTTTCCGTTTAGTCCTATTTATTTATTTTTATAATTAGTTTGATTTTGACCAAAAGTTCATGTAATTTTGTAATTAGGTAAATATTTTCGAATTTGTTTAAATTTATATTTTTTTAAATTATTTTATGTGACTTGTGAATTTGTTTATTAAAGTGACCTGATGATGATGGCGAACCAGTCCATCGAAACGTTGTCAACAAAATGAAAATTTATTGTTTCATTCAATTATTTCTTCCTTAAATCGAACAAATGTTATTTATTAACAATTTATTTAAATTGTTGCAAACAATGTTAATTAACAAATAGAAATTTAAAAAAAAAAATTTTTTTTTTGCAGACAAATTTATGTTTTTTTAAGTAATCTATGTCGATTTTAGTAAAAAATGATTTTAAATTTTTAAATTATTATTGTATTGACAATTATTATGAACAATAATCAAGTTTTTTTGACATTTGTAAACATTTTAGGCTTATTACTGCAAAAAGAAAAATTATTTTTCGTATTTTAACGAGTTTAAAGTCATGTAAAGCTCTACTTGATTATTAATAACTAGACTATTGTTCATATAATTGTTAATAACAATAGTAATTATTAAATTCAAAATAATTTTTTACTAATATCGACATAGATTAATTAAATAAACAATAAATTTGTCTGCAAAAAAAAAATTTTATAAAAAAATATCTATTTGTTAATTAACATTGTTTGCAACAATTTAAATAAATTGTATTATGCATTATTATTTGTCTGGTGGTCATGCTGGACTAATTTAAATTGATTCCAATCATCTGCAATGAAAAATATAAAAAAATAAACATGATTTTTTCTAAAAATATTGTAAATTGTTAACTTTGAATAACAAAAAAAATATAAAAAATTTAAAATTCAAAAATTGGTTTAGTTGGATCTCTTAGAAATTTTATCTCCTTTAATTTAAGACCAAGTCCATGAAAATCCGATAAAATTTGTAAATTCCAGACAATTTTGAACAGTAAATTGTAAAAAATGCCAATGTGCGCGGGGCCAGTTTTAACGTCAATAAAGCTCTACACAGCTGCAGTTTTTAATTAATAACTTTTTTTCTAATTGAGGCTCATTTTTTTCGAAACGGTTTTACACTCAGAGACATTTAAGAAATAGAATATAATTTTAATTTTTTTGTTAGGACGTGAAAAACATATTTCTTTATTAACATTTTATAAACAAATTATACACTACCGTCCGAAATTGTGCGAACGCTAACATCTCGAGCTATTAAAAAACACACCTACACAGAAACAGTGATAACTCGGTTAAAAACGAAGCTAGATCCTTTTTTTTAAATTGCATTGGAAAGCTTATTAAATTTCCAATGAAATGCCACTATTTTAAGTTGTATTGCATAAATAGGAAGCGCGATATCATGTTATGAAGACAAAAAAATAATTCTATTTTTTCGGAATTTCTTACCCTGACTTTGACTTTTGGCAAAATTTAGAAAAGTTGATGAAAAAAATTGCTGTTCTTGGTCTCTATTTAAAGCTTAGGTTACAAGAAATAGTCTGTGAAAGTAACAATTTTTTTCATCAACTTTTCTAAATTTTGCCAGGAGTCGAAGTCAGGGTAAGAAATTCCGAAAAAAATAGAATTATTTTTTCGTCTTCATAACATGATATCTCGCTTCCTATTTATGCAATACAACTTAAAATAGTGGCATTTCATTGGAAATTTAATAAGCTTTCCAATGCAATTTAAAAAAAGCATCTAGCTTTATTTTCAACCGAGTTATCACTGTTTCTGTGCGGGTGTGTTTTTTAATAGCTCGAGATGTTAGCGTTCGCACAATTTCGGACGGTAGTGTATAAAAAATTATAAAAAATAAAAAAAATTTTAAACAAAAAATATATTCAAATATTGCAATCCAAGACGAAAAAAACCCATATTTTAATTTTAAAATCCGTCCACTGTAACTCGAGAAAACAATTTGTTAATTAAGCAGTATTAAAAAATGCAATTGTTAATAACTTTTACAAAAAAGTTTTTTTTGGCTTTATATTTTTAGGGATTCTTCTTAACGATATTAAGAATAAAAAAAACTATTTTGGTTCAAAAAGAAAATTTTTTAGTTTTAGGTGATCCGTTTGAGAAATTCTGACCCAACATCAAATTTTTTGCTTCTTAGGTACTCTAAAAAATTACTCCTTGAACCTGACACATAAGACATTATATTTTGTATCATATTTTTGATTATTTTTCTATTAATTAATTTATTAAACATATATGTATTTTAAAATTTGTTGTCAGAAAAAAGTTTTAAATGGCTCACCTTGGTTTGAGATTCAACTCTGCAGTTGTGCCAAAAATCTTTTTTTTATTATATAATGCTCCAAGAGATGATTCATTTTTTATATTTCGGTAAATATATTGTTGTTCTTCATACAAAAAATTAATTTTTATTAAATATTTACAGTCACGATAATGGAGACATCTTTTTTTAAATATGACTATTCCTTGTATTCAAGCTTTAAATAGCGTTCCCGGTCATTTTTACGAAAAAAATTTTCCGCAAGTCTAATTTTCCGAAAAGATAATTTTCCGAAAAAAAAATTCCGAATCTAAATTTACGAAATAATTTTTCCGAAAATTAATAATTCCGAAAATTCGCTATTTCCATAAAAATATTTATGGAATTTAATTCAATTTCATATTTTGTTTATTACGGATATTTTCTTTGCGTGTTTTTACGTTTAAGGAGGTTGTTTACAGGTATGCAGACCTTCAGAAAAAATATTGAATTGACATTAAAGAATATTATTATAATTATTGTATATATTAATGATTATTAATATTATTGTTACTCGTATCTTCTGGAAGAACAAATACAATTTTCATGAAAAATATTTAAAACTTACAAAAATTGTTTATTTAGTTATTTTGCATATGATCAAAGTTTTCTTTATATTAAAAGGTTAAACTTTTTCAAAACTGATTCGATTTAAGATATTTGTTCTGCAAGCCTTTTTAAGTTATTTCTCAGATTGTCTCGTATATTGGTTAAGAAACAGATTTCAATTGTTTTTATATGCGAAGAATTAGATTCGGAAAATTTTTTTCGGAAAAGTTTATATTCGGAGAATTGGATTCGGAAAAATTTTTTCGGAATAAATGATTTTTCGGAAAAAATAACTTGCGGAAATTTGCTTTCGGAAAAAATAACTTGCGGAAATTTGCTTTCGGAAAATTTTTTTCGGAAAAATGACCGGGAATCTTTAACCCATTAAGGACGGGATGTACAAAATTTGTACACAATGTTTAAGGATATATTTCAATAATAAAATGCTACGAGAAAATTTTTTGAGTACACATTTCTTATGTGTCAAGAGTCCCTCTTTCGAATGGCGTGCTCAAAAAAACTAAAAAATGTTAAATAAACAATTTATTTAACAATTTATAACAAAAAACACGATTTTTTAAGAATTTTAAATTGGTTTTTTTAATTTTTTTATAGCTTAACCCTTCAGCATATGGGTGATTCTCCTGAAAGGGACCACTTCACGTGTCTCCAACATGAGGTTCATTATTTAAATTAATTTTTTATTAATATTTTATCAAGTTTAAATTTTTTGAAAAATTTATTTATAATCTACGAAGATTTATCTATCTTTATATAATCTTCTATTGCTTATATTTAAATTTCTTCCTATTTAAAAAACATATTTAATTTTCTCATCGAATTTTGGTTAAACAGAATGTATATTTTATAATTATATTTTAACGTATTTAAACAATTTCAACATATTTATGATATATATCAAATTAAAGTTCAGAATATAAGGATTATTTTTTACTTACATTTGTTTAAAATAAGGTAAAAAAAGTTATTTAAATTATTAATTAAAATAGTATTATCAATGAGAGTAAAAATTAAATTCATCTCCGAAGCCTCATTTTCTATATAATAACATCATATTTTTTAACGTTTTAAACATAATATGTAATCGATGTGAAAATATTTGATGATTAAAACTAAAAATATTGTTTAAAAAAATGTAATATTTTTAAAATTAGAAAAAATGAGAATTTTTTCATTAAATTATCAATTCATCTCCAAAGCCTTTTTTATATTTGATAGGCGTTTTCTTTTGTTTTTAATTTTTTAATCATTGTTTTGAAATATTTAACCCTCAAATTAAATTATTAATTTAATAAAAATAAAATATACAAGCAAAAAGTGCAATAAATTAAAACATAACAATTTATTATTTAAAAAAAATATTCCTACCGAGTTTTTTTTACAAAATAATTAATTTAAAAGTTATAATTAATTATACTTAACCTCTAGAACACATGATAGTAAAATGTTCCTGGAGGTCTTATTTCTGAAAATTAATTTTGCGCAACTTATATTTTTATCTTTAAACATTTTCTAAACTTATTTATGAAAGAAAAGTAACAAAAAAAGAATAATTTGATTTTTTGGAAATTCAACCAAAAAAGGGTCCCTTTCAGGAGAATCACCCATATCTTCTACTGTTATAAATATCGCGTCAAAAATAGTTGGGCTACAAGATAGGACTATTTTGGGAATTAAATTTTTAAATGGCTGCCACAAAATAGCGACCAAAGTTACTTTTTTTAAACAATATTATAGACAAATGGAGGAAATTTTTAAAAATAGTTAACTTTGCTTAAAACTTGTCACTCGGGGGTTTTTGGGGTCGCTGATGACGAATATGACCTTATTTTTTAAAAATTCAAAATGGCGGATCCAATATGGCGGACGCTAAATTTAAAAAATGATTATATTCTTTTGAAACTTGTCACTTGGGGGTTTTTGGGGTCGCTGATTACGAATATAACCTTATATTTTGAAAATTCAAAATGGCGGATCCAATATGGCGGACTTATTTTTAAAAATCATACAAATTCTCATGAAACTTATTACTCGGGGGTTTTTGGGTTCGCTGATTACAAATATAACCTTAGATTTCAAAAATTCAAAATGGCGGATCCAATATGGCGGACGACAAATTTAAAAAACGAATGTATTCTCTTGAAACTTGTCACTCGGGGGTTTTTGGGGTCGCTGATAATGAATTTGACCTCATTTTTTCAAAAATTCAAAATGGTGGATCCAAAATGGCGTACGAAAAACTTTTTAAATGATTGAATTCTCACCACGTGGAATTAAACCGTTTTTAAAGAATTTTTTTTTTATTTTAAAAATTTTTTTAATATTTTTGTTGCCTTTTATATTTTTTAAACATTATTTAGAAAATTTTTAATCTATTCTTACTTTAATTATTTTTTTTCATGTGATTCTGAAAAACACTGTTTGCAAAAATATTGATTGCATTGCTGACATAATAAATACGTTCAAATTAATTAAATTGAGAGACCACCCATTTTAAGACGAATGAAAATCGTATTAAAACATAAAATTTACTGAAACTAAATTTTTTTTTGATATTTTCTGAAAGTTGGTAAGATTATGGAAAGAACAAAATATTTTAGAAGTCGTTTGACCAATAATTTATTTTAATATTTTTAAAAAAATCGTCATTTACAATGTTTTATACAAATTTGAATAACTTCTAAATATATTTTAAAAATACAATATACTATCTACATCCATTACATTAATTCATTATTTTTTAAGAACTAATCCAATTTAATTAGTTCATAACTATTAATATTCGAATATAAAATAATTTGCGGGAATTTTCAAAAAGTACGTTTTAAATACATACTATATTGAATACATTAAATATAATAATATATTATTTATTGAAAGTAATTTAATTAATTTGAACGTATTTATTATGTCAGCAATGCAATCAATATTTTTGCAAACAGTGTTTTTCAGAATCACATGAAAAAAAATAATTAAAGTAAGAATAGATTAAAAATTTTCTAAATAATGTTTAAAAAATATAAAAGGCAACAAAAATATTAAAAAAATTTTTAAAATAAAAAAAAAATTCTTTAAAAACGGTTTAATTCCACGTGGTGAGAATTCAATCATTTAAAAAGTTTTTCGTACGCCATTTTGAATTCACCCTTTTGAATTTTTGAAAAAACGAGGTCAAATTCATCATCAGCGACCCCAAAAACCCCCTAGTGACAAGTTTCAAGAGAATACAATCGTTTTTTAAATTCGTTGTCCGCCATATTGGATCCGCCATTTTGAAATCTAAGGTTATATTCGTAATCAGCGAACCCAAAAACCCCCGAGTAAGAAGTTTCATGAGAATTTGTATGATTTTTAAAAATAAGTCCGCCATATTGGATCCGCCATTTTGAATTTTCAAAATATAAGGTTATATTCGTAATCAGCGACCCCAAAAACCCCCAAGTGACAAGTTTCAAAAGAATATAATCATTTTTTAAATTTAGCGTCCGCCATATTGGATCCGCCATTTTGAATTTTTAAAAAATAAGGTCATATTCGTCATCAGCGACCCCAAAAACCCCCGAGTGACAAGTTTTAAGCAAAGTTAACTATTTTTAAAAATTTCCTCCATTTGTCTATAATATTGTTTAAAAAAAGTAACTTTGGTCGCCATTTTGTGGCAGCCATTTAAAAATTTAATTCCCAAAATAGTCCTATCTTGTAGCCCAACTATTTTTGACGCGATATTTATAACAGTAGAAGATATGCTGAAGGGTTAAGCTATAAAAAAATTAAAAAAACCAATTTAAAATTATTAAAAAATCGTGTTTTTTGTTATAAATTGTTAAATAAATTGTTTATTTAACATTTTTTAGTTTTTTTGAGCACGCCATTCGAAAGAGGGACTCTTGACACATAAGAAATGTGTACTCAAAAAATTTTCTCGTAGCATTTTATTATTGAAATATATCCTTAAACATTGTGTACAAATTTTGTACATCCTGTCCAATAGAGACCAAGAATAGCAAAAAATATTAATGGGTTCCCGAAATATTACAAAAACAGTCGTACTGTGCGAAGCAAAATTTTCAACCATCGACTCCTCTAATTCGCCGTTGAGTCAGTTACGTGGCTGCGAAAAAAGTGTCGAAAATGAATTTTGACAAGTAAATCCTTACTGGAATCCCAGTAACTATTACAAAAATCCAAAAAGCAATAAATTAGTTACCCGCAATTTTTGACTCACCATAATACGCTCATCTACGATATTTGCCACTCGATAATACCCTCAAGTCATAATAAGCTCCGCGAGTTACAAGCATATAAGTCTTCTATTTAATCATTTATTTAAATATTAAACTATTTTCTATAACATTGGCAATTTTTTTTTAAAGAAAAAAAAGCTTCAATATTCATTTAAAATAAAAAACAAAACCATATATATTCATTTATAATATTTAAACCACTTGGAAGTATGACTTACACAAAATTCCACGATAATACCCACAGTTACCCTAAACTGAATTGTAAAAATATGAAATTATAATTTAAAAAGTTTAGCTTGCAATAATTTTCAAGGACATTTTATTTAAATTTAACACTCATATACTTTCCAATTTCTTTTCATTTTTTCTATTTTTCTTTTCTCTTACATCTTCTTTTTTTCAGAATTAATTTTTTGGATCATTTATTCTGTGCAAAAAAATCAAAATAAACATTGAAACTTAATTTTTAGTTTTATTTATTAACAGTTTCTATAAAAAAGTGAGAATCGACAACTTCATACTTAACAATTTCTTTTTTAAAAACTGTTGGTCCATTACGGTCGAATTTGCGTCTTAGAATTAGTAACTCTTATTCATTACGAAGTTTTATCGTTTGAAATGTCCGAAAGTATGGTTAGGGATCGGGCACTCAAATTGGAATAATTATTTATCCATTTAATAAATTAATGTAAAACCTTTTGGAATTGATTCATCTTATCAAGCTCTAATATTTCCAACATAAATAAAGTAAAACGTTATTGAAATTATCAAAATATATGTGAGGGACAAGAAAGTTAAAGGTTCCAGAGATATGCCCATATATTACTGTATAGTTTTCTATGTAATATTTTATGTGGGAATTTTTGATAGAATATAGATTTTTTCCAAACTAAAATTTTTAATTTTTTCTAAAATAAATTTGCTATCAGAACTATAAATTACTCCATCTGTATGTATTTTCAAACAACATTTATATAGCTGTAAATAGAATACGGTTGTATTTTTAAAGATTAATTAATTTACCTCAACGTATCCACTAAGTGGAAAATCTTTTCTTAACGGGTGACCTTCAAATCCGTAGTCAGTCAGAATTCTTCTAAGGTCAGGATGATTTGAGAAAAAGATTCCATACATGTCCCAAACTTCTCTTTCGTACCAATTAGCTCCTTCAAATATCCCAGTAATCGAATCAATTGGAGTCAATTCATCTGTATAAGTTTTCACTCGAATACGTGAATTATATTGGACAGAAAGCAGCATATAAATGAGCTGTAAAATTTAAGTTCTTTTGATATATTTTAAAGTAAATACGTATTAGAAATAAAACATTCGAATAAACAATCATTATAATTCCATTTAAAAATAATTAAAAGTAAATAAAACTCTTGGTGGTCAGAGGATCAGATATCTACATGAGTAGAAAAAGGTAATTTATGCGATTGCATAATTTTTTAAAATCAAGTAGAAACATAATATTATGTTAATTCATGTCTTAAACCTTTTACAACATGTTTCTAGAGCGCATAATATTGCATAATTTTTTACTTACGGCATAATTGTACTCTTTTTGCATAATGATCACATAATAGGCTCAAAATTTTCAAAATAGTGCTTTCTTAACTAAAAACCATGAAAATTTTTTTCAGTTTCTTCATTTTTAAAATATTTTTTTAAATTAAATAATAAATAAGTTTTTAAACTGTTAACTAACTTGTTAAATGTTATTGAAAAATTAAATAAATCTTAAAATTTAAAAAGCAGTAAGTGCTACATATGATGAGTAACATCGTTTGCGGTCATTCTCCCGAAAGGCCGTTTCCCGAATGTCTAATTTATCAAATGTCTAAAATCTCGAATACTTTTATACAAAATTTTGTATGAAGATGTTTCCGTTGTTAAAATTTTTTTCGGAATCTTAAAGAAACCACAGCAAAGATTTGTTTAGTGTTTGCCTCATTCAATTTCGTTTGGTCGTTCAAAAGTTATTTAATTATTATTTAATACCTGTTTTGTTTATAAAAATTTGTATAAACAATTGTTTTGTTTTTTTTTGCTGAATTAAGTGTGGTGCAAACATTTCTTTTTATGTGTAGATTAAAATTCCTGAATTTTATTGCAATTGGTTTACTTACTCCGAAAAAACTAAATTCTTACTTGGAGTCGCACATATATCCATTTCATAATAAAAAACAAAAAAAATTTTGGTTACATAAATCTTCGGGAAATTAGATTCGGGAAAAAGGTATTTGTGATTTTAGACATTCGGGATAGGGCCTTTCGGGAAGTTGGTTTCAAAAAATAACCAGTAATTGTTTCAAATCAAAATTTTTTTTTAAATGCAACATAATTTTGTAAAATGAACATTTTTCAGCGCATAATTGAAGCAGAATACTTTTTAATTGCATAATTCTGCATAATCATGCTCATTTTAGCGCATAATTAACGCAGAATTCATCTTTTTAGTCGCATAATTGTACACAATTTAAGCGCATAATTCCGCATAATTGTGCACAATTTAAGCGCATAATTAGAGGGACTCAAAATGCATAATCTACTACCTTTCTCTATAATATACATGAGGGGAACGCACTGCAAAAATAGGTGTCTTTTTTGATATCTTAAAATAAGATGTAAGATGGAAAAATGGTATCTTACATCTTAAAATAAGATGTTTTCTGAAGCATCTTACTGATATTTAATATGCTTTATACGTTTTAGTAGTGATGAAGATATTTTTTCCATCTTAGAAAAGTAAGATACTTTTGTAAGTTCTTTAAAGTATCTTAAATTAAGATGTTTCTATTGCAATAAGATGTTTAGCGATAAGTTACTTGAGAATCGTAAGATGCACCATAAGTGTAAGTTACTAAAAACTAAGATACATAAAGTGTTTTCCATAAGAGCCCATAGTTAACCTTAAAACTTTTTGCCCCAAAAATACACAGAAAATGTGTACGAAGATACTTTTAACATCTTAAATGTATTAATATTTGTTAAAATTGGTAATAGAATTTAATATATTCTTTTTCATTCTAGGGAAATCGTTTTTATATTAAAAATTAATATTGTGTATATTAGTAGACAGTTTTTATTATATGTTAGAAAAATTAATAAAATTGTAATACAATTTAATAAAAGAATTATAATCTTTAAAAATGACCATATTAAAATCATAGTCTGTGAAAGTATCGAAAAATAAGAAAAATTAAAATAGTTCTTTTAAATTTTAGAATAAAATACATATTTCAATCTTTAATATAGCCAATACTAAAAATTATGAGTGAGCGAAAAAGGACAGAAAATAAAAAGACGTAAGAAGGTGAAGGACAGAATTATCGTTTCGAAAGTATTTCGCACATACATAAATCGAGTTAATATACAAACACAAACCTAAGATAATGTCCGCACAGAAAGTCTTTGCCCCTCAGAATTTGTTAATAATTAACCTTTATAAAGAAGTTTAAAAAATCCTAAAATTATGTTAATTAACGTTGTAATGAGCATTTTTATGCAAATGTGCTATCTGGCTTCAGAATAAAGATACAGCTTTGCGATAAATTGTAAAATGTATATTTTGAAAAATTAAACAAAATTTGAAGACTTGTATCTGAATGCAATTTAAATTGTGCTCTTTATCCCTTTAGAAAATTTTAAATTTTTAATGAGGTGTCGATTTCACTTTTAGCAAAAAAACGTAGAAAAAAAGGGTCGCATACACGGAGAAAAATAGAAAAATGATTTATGCAGTCAGTGTAGTACTCCTTTATAGAATAATATGTGACAGGTACACACTATAGTATTATAAGTTTCATAGCTGAACACTTTGGGACTCAACACAAGTTATCCCATTCATCAGTTTAAACAAGACTGTTTATATAGTCTAAGAAGGAATAAGAGTATAAAAAATAGGAATGAGAAATTACTTTCTCATGTAATTGTTAAAAGAACGTGGCAGTGTACAAAACACAAGTCAATAATAGAAGCGAATATTGAACAACTGGTACTCAGTCCAGTTCTTTCGAAAAATGAACGCACTGCACATAAAGTAGATACCTACTCGAAAACCACAAGTTATTCTCTCTCTCTCACACTAATGGTCGTTCACTTATCTTACCGTTTCACTTACTCTTACTACTCTCAACTATTTTGTACACGGAAAAAAAAGAATAATCAAATTTACCATGAGGAGTGTCAAACTTGAAAAAGGTTAAGAAAAAATTAATGTTTTTTATTTATTTATTATTAAATTCTAATAACCGTATCAAATTTAAACTAGTTGACAATATTATTTATTCAATATTATGAATATTGTTGACATCCATACTTAGGGGAGAGTAGGCTACATTGAACCAGCGTCAACAGTGAACCACTTCAATTTTCTGAGAAATGACTGAGTGAAATTTTTTCTTATTTAATATATAAGTTAGTTTTACCGAAACAAACTATGTCCAAAAATTTCGGACACGTAGGTTTATTATTTATAAAGAAAAACTAAAAAAAACTGTTTTTCACGTACAAAACAAAAAATTTTGTGGAAATATAATCAAGTTTTTTTTTTTGAAATAGGAAGTTTTAAAAATAAGTAAACTTGTGATTTATTTCGCTTTGGGTGTCAACTTCAATATTCCGATGTGATAAAGAATTTTAACTCTTACATAAATTTATTATAAACAATTTTTGTTGTGAATGTCATGTGAATACAGTGAGTGCGGCATTATTGAACCACCCGAAAAAGCAAAGAATTTTCAATTTTAAGAGTTGTAAGGTTGTCTGCTCTACTAATTAGTAAGAAAAATACTGGAAGACATGCTTTCATCACAATTGTCAACGTGATAAACTTACAGTACCGTCCGCAATTGTCAGTCCACCCATTTTTAAAGGAATGACAAAAATTTTTTAACATAAAATTCATGAAAACTAAAATTTTTTTTGGTTTATATTTTGAAAGACGATAAAATTTTGAAAAGAATAAGACCTTACAGAAGTCATTTGGACAAAATTTGTAGAAGATATTCCTAAAAATCGTCATTTTCAATGTTTTACAAAAATTTAAATAACTTCTAAAATAATGAACGCTTTTTAATAATCTTAGGCTTATTTTAAAGGTCTTTTTCTACGGAATAAGAATTACTTATAGGCATTAACCTGTCATTTTTAACTTGGAATAAGCATGACGTCAAAATTAGACAAAAAAATTGGAAAAATTTGAAATCAATTTTTTGTACTAAAAACTATTCTAGAACATATATAAAACATGATATGGTGTAGATTTTTCAAGAAATTTTAATAAAAATATATGTTTGAATTTCAAAAATTATTTTTCTTTTAATAATATTATTTCAAATTTTTTGAATTTTTTTGTCCAACTTTGACGTCAAGCTTATTCCAAGTTAAAAATTACAGGTTAATGCCTATAAGTAATTCTTATTCTGTAGAAAATGGTCTTTAAAATAAGCCTAAGATTATTAAAAAGCGTTCATTATTTTAGAAGTTATTCAATTTTTTGTAAAACATTGAAAATGACGATTTTTAAGAATATCTTCTACAAATTTTGGCCAAATGACTTCTGTAAGGTCTTATTCTTTTCAAAATTTTATCGTCTTTCAAAATATAAACCAAAAAAAATTTTACTTTTCATGAATTTTATGTTAAAAAATGTTTGTCATTCCTTTGAAAATGGGTGGACTGACAATTTCGGACGGTACTGTAGCTGTAAAAAAATTTTAAAAAAACCAATTTAAAATTCTTAAAAAATCGTGTTTTTTGTTAAAAAATGTTGAATAAATTGTTTATTTAACATTTTTTAGTTTTTTTTTAAGATTTTAATATTGAAATATGTCTTTAAACATTGTGTACAAATTTTGTACATCCCGTCCTTAATGGGTTAAAATTATATCCAATTTTTTGTTATATAAAAAACCCATAATTTAATTTATTGGCATAAGAAAATGCAACATTTTTTTAATACGTTAGGCAGCTATGAACTGGGATTCGAGTCCTCATAGATGCACAGTGCATTAGTTCACGTAGCTTATTTTTTCAGATCAAAATTAATTTAAAAATTGATAATTATTTATCGACAACCATATCGAAATAATTATCATATGAAACACCTAACTCTGAACCAAATAGTTTAATTGACATCTAATAGATGTCACTATTAGCTGATAAAGTCGAAATATTTCTTTGTAATTCAAATTCTCAATCAGCGAAAAATTCTAACATCTATTTTTTTAATACCTTCCAATGCCCTATTTCACCTTCATAAA